GTTTTTCGGTTGGCTCTCTTTACACACGTGATTTTTGCTACTCTTCTGCCGTATGAGATGCACAAATGCGTAGAAGGATTTGTATGTGTATTTTCGCGATTTGTAACCCCTTGCGCAGGCTCGCAGGCTCACATGCTGCCCTGACCGCAGGCTCACAGGCTCACAGACAGCCTCTACCTTTTTTTTTTTCCTCCGCTGCGGGAGTTGACGTGACAAGGATGATATATTGATACCATTCAGTAAGGAAAAAATTTAATCTATTATTAAACAAAAGGTTACGGAAAGATGGCAGAAGCTGTGGGAAGAGCATAGAACTGGAAGTTGGCTTTATAGTATTCAAAGGAAAATTGGTGAAATGAGGAGAACGGAAAGTAATAAAAAGAGGTTATATCTAGATTAAGTTTCGGAAACACGGGGTTAAAGGGAAACTTATTTAGAATGGGAACAGGAGGTTGTGGTTTTTGTTATCAAGGGGAGACGGTGGAGCATGTTTTGTTGTTTTGTTATAAATATTCTATGGAGAGAAGGGTTACAAGAAAATAAATTACAGTTAAATATACAAGATATTTTGGGGGGGGGAAATCTACTTATGATTATTTTTGTAATTTGAAAAACAATCTTGAAAAAACGAAATTGGTAGAAAGGATATAAGTTTATTTATGTAAATATTGTTAATATTTATTTTTATTTTTCAGTGGGAAAATACATAGCATCCCGATCCACACTCCACTGAAGTAGATGGTGGTAATGCACATCATAAAGTTGCTTGCCAGCCGCCATAAAACAGAAGAAGAAGAAACAGTTTTACTAATGCAAACTATAGAAAAAACTAGAAAAAGCTGTTTCGGAGAAACATCAAAGTGGGAATGCTTTTGCTGAATGAAAAAAGCTGAAATTAACTGCAGAACATATAAAAATGTGATAGGAAGTCATTAGAAACTTCAAACTGCAGAAAACAATTGAATCATCTGAAGATTTTATAGGGTAGAAACATCCGGCAGTAAAATGGCAGAAACAAACTCATCTTAAAAGCTGCACAGTCAAACCATACATGATATCAAAAAATGTTGATCAGCATAAAGAAAACAGTGTCATCATTTGAGGATTGAAAATTTACAAACCTATGTGCAAGACTAACCATGAGAAGCAGAGGAAGGACAGAGAGAGAAGCTTATAGAAAGAGAGCTAATACCACTTAAGGAGCTGAATTTATAAAAAAAAAAACTAAACTGCATGATACGAGCCGCTGTGGTGATGAAAGCACCGTTGGCAGGCTTAGGCTGCATGTTACTAGGTTAGCAGATGCTTTATTACAGTGTAAATCTTAGAGCCTTATTAAGAAATGTAAACTGAGGTGTGTGGTCAACAGGCCTTGGTAGTGTAATTTGAAGAAATTGGTTGAGTTTGGGTCATAGCTATAAGCCATACTGCACAATGAATGAGTGTGCATAAGGAAGAGGCTTTTATTTTGTAGGGTCCCTTTAGTCTTATTTTGAAAGTCTATCATGGATGTGTGTCAAGGGAAGGGTCATGCCCAGCAGTGATATAGAATCCATTTCTAAATATGAAATCACTGGTTTTCCATGTTATTGGGTGAATAGATAATATAAAAGAGCATAAATGGGAGACTTTTATTGTGAAATTCGCTCTGGGGTATGTTGTGAAAAGGTCCCTAGAGTCTAATAGAATCAAGCTGGTAGAGTTTGGGTCATAATTCTGAGCCATTTGCATCAATTAATACACAAGTATAATATAGAGGCTTTTATTTTGTAGGGTCACTGGAGTCTTATTTTGAAAGTCTAGCAGGGTTGTGTGTTGAGAAAAGGGTCAGACCCAGCAGTGATACTTGATGACTTTTCAATCCTTAAATCACTCTTTCCCCCTGTTATTAGGGCAGTAGATGAAGTGGAAATGGGAGGCTTTTATTTTGAAATTTGCTGTGGGGTGTGTTATGAAACCCCCCCTAGAGTATAATTTTAAAAAAGTAGTTGAGTTTGGGTCATAATGTTGAGCCATATGCTGGGAAAAAAAATATGGGTTTAATGTAGGGGCTTTTATTTTGAAAGGTCCCCGGAGTCTTATTTTGAAAGTCTATCAGGGTTGCGTGTGAAGGGAAGGGTCATGGCCAGTAGTCATATTGTATCCACTTCCTAATGTTAAATCAGTGTTGTCTCCCTCCATTAGATTAAAATGTGCTGTTTAAAGTGGTGGAGGTAAAATCTCTTTGAAGCACGGTTACCTTGACAACGCTTAACGAGCCTGTCAGTGACAGAGAGACATGCGCATCACTTTCGTTCCTTTCCTCTCAGGCTTTTTTGAATGGGAATAGCAGCTTCGAACAAACGAGTGCTGAAGACAAACCGTAAATGATATCTAAAAAATTTTTTCAGTCTAAGCGTGAGCTATCCTTTGTCTCCAATTGGGATAACGTTCATGGCTGTAGCTCATTCACAGCCTTAATGGGAAGGAGAAATATAAAGGTTTATAAATCCTGCTGGTCTCATTAAATAACATGGAGTCCCATGGTAGAGCAGAGCTCTCAAAAGCAAAACTTTCCCTCCGAACAAACGAGCGGTGAGCCAAAACCGTAATAGGTATTCAAAAAATTCTTTCACCGTGAGCGTCAGCCATCTTTGGACTACAACTGGTGTAACTTTCATATTTCTACAATATTTCGTCTAGGCGTGGTGACGATGTAAAAAAGTGTATAATTGTCAAAATCTTGATTTTGAGGTTCGGACAGATTTGTTACCCCCGAACAAACCTTTTTCCTGGCTAAACGATAAAAGATATCGACACACTTCCTTAAATGTGAGTGCTAGGAAGGTCTGAGGAACAACTTCCACAAGGCTCATGTTGCTACGTCTAACGGTTCCCAAATGGGAGCGATACGAAAAATTCTGTTTTTTTGAATTTTCAGTTCGGATTTTCAGAGAGCTCTCATTGGATTTCTATTGGAGAAGTGTGGACTTCTTCGTGGTCTGGGCCAAACTGTCGGAAAACCGTAAATGCCACACAAATGAGGGTTACATTTCCTGAATCTTGACAAAAATCCCTACGTTTTGATGTAAAATTTATCTAGATAGGGTAAAAAATGAGCGAGTGAGTTGAAGCTGTTCGGCATGAGTGAAATGTTTGAAAACGCTAGAGTGGCACACTCTAGCAGCTGAACATTCCGTCCATAGACTTCCATTATAAATTTGAAAATTTGTAAAAATTGTTTAAAAGTTTGAAGCTTCACTGAAGCAAAACTGTAAAAGTTAGCAAAAAGCTGAGATAAATAGTAATAGCAGAAAGATACGGAAACATTTTAAAAGTTGAATGGTGTTTCTAGCTGAAAGTATGCTGAAGTAGTTAAAGGGCAAAGTAGCTGAAGATTTAGTGGAATTTTTGAAGTTTTACATGCATTTCAATGGGACAAAAAAAGTCATAAAAAGCTAAATATTTAAAAAAGTATAATAGCTGAAGTTACCAAAAGATACAGCAGGATGGACCAGAAGAAGCTGAACGTTTTGATACCAAATTTGTTGAAATCGGCTGAAGTATGGGGAACTAGTTAGAGACGGAAAAACGTACGGAAAGTATAATAATAATAATAATAATAATAATAATAAAGAGAAACAGAAAAACAATAAGTGGGAATGCATAAGCAGCTGACGGGATTCCATTGCTCTCAACTTAGCAGGTACAACCCCTAGGACCCCAGTAACGTCACGTACTGTACAATACCGCCAACTGGTGGTATGTGGCTGTATGTGAAGCAAGTTGTGCTGAACTGTCGCAGCAGAGAGAGGCTGTCTGTGAGCCTGTGAGCCTGTGAGCCTGCGAGCCTGCGGTCAGGGCAGCATGTGAGCCTGCGAGCCTGCGCAAGGGGTTACAAATCGCGAAAATACACATACAAATCCTTCTACGCATTTGTGCATCTCACACGGCAGAAGAGTAGCAAAAATCACGTGTGTAAAGAGAGCCAACTGAAAAACCGCTTGACTTGTAACCAATGATTTGTCTGTATTTCTGGGTCTTGAAGCGAAAATACTTCAGACACAAGTGTCTCTGTGTGTGCTTACAGATTGATCTACACATTTGCAAATCTCAGTACACATTTGCAGATCTGAATACAGATTTGTGGATTTTTTACACATTTGCAAATCTCAGTACACATTTGCAGATCTGAATACAGATTTGTGGATTTTTTACACATTTGCAAATCTCAGTACACATTTGCAGATCTGAATACAGATTTGTGGATTTTTTACACATTTGCAAAACGGATTACACACAAGTAGTTTTACACATTTGCAGATTGTTGTAAAGACACACAAATCTCCTCACACATTTACAGATTTATTTACACATTTTCAAATCCCACTGCACACACACAAATCGAGATACAGACACACAACTCTCCACACACATTTGCAAATATTAAAGCTACCATTTTGGCCCCATACGTTTCCTCTATGCAATGGAGATAACTGGTCACAATTCTCTTTACCGGTCCGGCTGTGAAGTTTTAAAGAGCCCATTATTGATTTTTTCATTTAAATCAAATGTTTTTAGGAAGAAATGTCAGATTCTTAAATGGAGCTTTGTATTTCCCCTCTTGGTATTTTAACAAAATGGATTCCAGGGATCAAAGCTCCTTGCATCTATAAAGAAGAATAAAACTGAACTAAGGAGAGCTGTTTTTATATCAGATGTTTCTGCTCTACTGCTGTTCCCCCCATGTAGATCAGAATGCTTGCTAACATTTTTCACTTCCAGTAAAATAAAGTATTCAGTTCAGGGTCATGGATCCTTTCTGAAGCACACGCTGTTACTTTCACCTAGCTGTTAGCTGCACAGAGGGAAGTTAATCTTTTTTTCCATTACGAATGAACCACCCTTTATGTTTAAACCAGTTTGCTTTTATTTGTTTGCTGTTCAACCTACTTTGTGTATTTAACCATTAACCTTTTGTCAAATACATATAGGTTTCATGAATAATATTTGTTTAAAAGGTGGGATTTCTGAAGATGGAAAAAGGTTTCCAACCACAGGGTGCTGCTCCACCCTACCCTGGACCTCCGATGAATTATGGCGGAACCGGGCCACTGCCTGGAATGCATGCTCCACCAGTTTATCCATCTCAGCCAGGCTTCCCTGCTCAGCCAGACTTCTCCGCTCAGCCAGGCTTCCCTGCTGCCCCAGCTGGATATCAGGGAGGTATGCAATCACTCCCTAACCTATTGTCACATATCTTAAGACGTATTCAAAGTTGTTCAAAACAAAAATCATCAAATTGTTGAAAACTTACAGCTACAAGCTTTGAAAAGGTAAAATGGCACAACTGTTTCTTGCTAATGGAGAATTTTATGCAAACAAATTGTCTTTTGTTGATAGAGCTTTGAAACAATGGTTGTATTGTTTTGCTGAAATGTTTCTCTCCTCCTACAGGTGTTGGATTTGCTCCTGCAGTCGGTACACCAGCAGGTGAGGTAACCAGATTCAGGAAAATGCGCTTTGAATGAAAAAAATATCCATATCTCATCAGCTATGACTCAAAGCAATAGAGTACTGAAGCTTATTTCTTAACAACAACACACACCTACAGGTTAACCGACATAGTCGGGTATCATTTTCCATTTTAGTCGGCAAAATTTGACCACTGCAGTGGGTTGCTGCCTTATTGAGATCTCTTCGTCTTTAAGAATGTGACCGTTTCTTTGGTATGTGAGCTTAACAGATAGCTTTTGTTCTATGTTTATTTCTTACTCTCTCCTATTCTAAGCATTGACTTTGTATCATTAAATAACAATCTTATATGTTTTTTTCCCCTATAAATAAATATATGTTTGGATTCTAGCCTAACCTAAATATTATACTTCAACTTCAAATCTTCTGTTTTTTCCTCGCTCCTGAAATCCCAACATTTGGATCAGCACGCAAAGCTTGCTCACATGTGTGTCTAGCATTAACATAACCATTGTTGTCTTTTATGACCTCTGCTGGTGATGTTTAGCAGCACTGTCTTCCTCCTTTTTTCCCTTCTAATGTTATTATGGCTGGATTACGCACCCCGGGAATGCTTTCAATGATTTCTGATTGTTTTTTTTTGTTTTGCTTTTCCAATGCATAAAATAAGTAATGAAACTGTTTTAACATGAAATTGTGCTCACACAAATTATACTGATATTTCACTGAAGCTGCGATTTCTTTGTATTGTATATCTACCAAAGGTCAAAATGTCCCTCCATAGGGAAACATTGAAACCATCAAAACCAGACAATGTGTTGCCAATACAATCTGTTCTCCAGCAGAGATGGGAAGTAACGAAGTACAAATACTTTGTTACTGTACTCAAGTAGATTTTTCTGATATTTTTACTTTACTTTACTACTTATTTGTATGGTGACTTTTTACTTCTACTCCTTAAATTTTTACACAAATATCTGTACTTTCTACTCCTTACATTTTAAAAATTTGGCTCGTTACCTTAGTTTTGAATCATTTCAGTGGAGTTACCGTTATTATTTTTCACGTCATCAATACCAAATTAGATCTAATTGGATGGGAATCTACGTTGCATTTGACGCACCACTACAAGATGAATCGACAGATTCGGCGGTATTCATTCGCGGCAAATCATTGCAGCTTGGTGGCGGTGGCGTTAGCATAGTAGTATGGACGACGAGATGATTGAAAATGAACACGACAGAGATCTAGTCCTATTGGCAGACATCCATTTAAAATGTAGGCAACGGCATGAAAAAAGTGGTTTCTACTTTTACTTTTATACTTTAAGTAAATTTACAAGCTTGTACTTTGTTACTTGTACTTGAGTAAAGAAGTTTAATCAGTACTTCCACTTTTACCAGAGTATTTTTTAACACAAGTATCTGTACTTTTACTCAAGTACAGAAAGTGAGTACTTTTGCCATCTCTGTTCTCCAGTAAGAAACCTTTTAGTTATATCCCTGTGCAGAACCTTCCAAAAGTATTTATAACATCTGAACATTTTCTTTCCTTAAACTTCTATGTATGTATTTTGTTGGGATTTTATAACAAATTTGCACAAAGCAACCAATAAAGATCTAAGGATCTAAGGTCAGATAAAATCAAAATATAACATTTTGGAAATAAATGCTAAATGCCCTGTACTGTAGGGAAATTAAAACTAGCATCATCACCCTGAATAAATCAGCTGGGTGAGGGCCACTTTCCTGCAGGTTCTAGAGGTTTCCTTGCTTCAGCTCAGCTTATTTCAATTGATGGCTGATTAACATGATTTTGTTGAACTAAAATCATCAGAATCAGCTCTACTGAAACAGGGAAACCTGATAAAACCTGCAGGACAGCAGCCTGTGAAGGACAACTTTGGGCAGGCCTGCCCTAGAAGAAAATCTGTCGGAGGCTTTAAATGGCCATAGACCAGCAGCGCCCAGCTTCAGTCCTATAGGGCCTGTCACCTTTATGGTTTAGATATTTTACTATTTCCGCACAACTGATTTCCAGGTCATTAACAGTTTTTACTAAACTGCAATCATTAAACAGGTTTTATAGAGCAGGGAAACAACTAAAACATGGAAGAAAAGCTTTAAACCCCCTAACTGTAGACTAAAGTGGAGGTTTATATTCCAGCATTTATATTTTTTCAAATCTTTTATAAGAATTTTATTTTACTTCCGGTGTAACATATTTTTTTAGTTTTATAAGAAATAACTGAACTATATGTGTAACACAATTGTTTAAGCATTTAAAAATAATATCTATGTTTTAATTAAAGTATTTTTTTGTGTATTTCAGTGTCTCACGTGGTAGTATCACCAGCACTAACTGAAATCCCTGGACAGTTTATGTGTCCTCACTGCCAGCACACTGGGATCACTAATACAACACAAACACCAGGACTGCTTGCCTGGGCCATTTGTGGAGGGTTGACCCTCTTAGGGTAAAAATCTGCTCAATAGATTATATCTTAAAGGAGTAATCTCAGCATTAATTGATTAAAAGAAGAATTTTAAAAATACCAAATAACCACAGTATTATCAATAAGAAAATCTGATTTCCCACATGCAGGTGCTGGCTTTGCTGCTGTATCCCTTTCTGCCTCGATTCCTGCCAGGATGTGGAGCATCGCTGTCCAAACTGCCAAAATCTCGTCTACATATACAAACGTATGTGAACCCCGTTTCACAAGAAATGAATGGAGAGAGAGAGAGAAAAAAAACTGATTTAATCGTACTTAATATAACAATATCAAAATATGCAAACTAAATCCAATGAAATAAATATTGCACTGTTGTATGTGATCAGACATGTTAGAAAAATTAAGGATTTGAGTAATGACAGGAAACTGTTTTCAATCTTAAAAAGCTATGTTTGTTTTTATTTTTTTTTTTCAAATGTCACCTCTTGCAAGAAATCTGTATACTTTTTTGTGTATTTTTTTTTTCATTAAACTGAAACAAAGTATTTTTTTGTTTTTATTTTGTCATTGAAGTGTTTATTTGTCTCAGAGGGGGTTGGACTGGGTTTTTTAGACCTTATTAAGTCTGAGAACCAAGATAGGATGGTCATTTTTTGTTCTTACACAAAGGTTTATACTTTTTACTGAAATAAAGAATTGGTCAACATTTTTTCAATTACTGCATATTCATATATCAGCTATACTATCATATAACATTATCCTCTTGTACAATATTAAATCAGCATAATGATTTAAAAATATCATGCCATGATCTAAATGAAACGTACCCCTGAGAGATGTCCATAAAATTGGTCAATTGGTGAATCACAGTGTGAGTTATTATCCACACATAAAGAAACCATGAAACGCTGTTAAAGCTTCCCAAGAGAGGTTCATTCTGACAATTATCGAAGAACCTTTAAGAACATCAAAGGTAATCAAACCTATTAACACTGTAATGTGTCTAGCATATCTAGCTTGGATCTGTTACACTGTCATTCACACTGGTGCATTTTATAAACTTCATGGAATTATGAAGGATAGGAAAAAGCTGCTTTTTTTCTCAGATATTATCAGCGGCGAGGCTACATGGGGGGCCAGGGGTGGCCATGGCCACCCTTAGCCAATCATTGGCCACCCCTGTGGCCACCCCTACCATTTTTTCCCCTCTCATACAGATGGTGGCAGCAGTAATCCTTTCAAGTGGAATATTTAAAACATTAACATTTTTTGTGGTTAATTATACATATCAATATATTAACATCAAAGATGATAAATACAGAATTCCTGCTCTTTTCAGAACTAGATTTTGTATTACATGGGGTAAAGAGAAAATTTGTCTCTGCACGTCATCCCGGAGTCTTCAGTGAAATCATAGATAAATAACTATTTTAATATAAAAACGTATCAAATAATCAATTTATGTAGATATTAGTGCTTGTAAATATCAATTTTATGCAGAATGTTTATTGAGACAAGTAGGTAAGTAATGATAATGTAAAAGATTTAGGCCCCAGATCTCAAAACCGAAAGATTTTTATTCACTATCTCTTTTATTTAGAAAGCACAGAAGTTTAAATATATGCGTCTATTTGTTAGTGAAGGCTTTAGGAAAGTATAGTTTGTATTTATTTGGAAAATATGGATGTTTTGCTCGTTAATTTTCGGGTTGGAACAGTGTAAACTGACCCTGAGGTTCTGGTGCCTATCCGCTTTTGGCAACCCCTCAGTGTACATTTAGTTATTTTGCCTGGCCACGCTTATATTATTGAGGTGTACTTTTGAGTCAGTTTCTATGATTTACATAGGTTGGTATAAATTAGTTCAGCTCTTCCTACTAGGCTCTATTTCCTGTATGATGATTACATTTTTAATTATGAAAGTGGTTTAAATAAATCATAAAAAATATCGAAATTGAAATAAAATTTATGCTGATAAGTTTATTTAAGCCTTTTTATTGGAGGGGCATATATAAGGTTATTATAAATTCATTGAGTTTATGTCCCAGCAGACCAACCTTTGTGATGCTGCTTTTTTCTTGTTATAGAAACAATGTTCATAAAAAACAATTGATCATCAATTATATTTATTATTTGTATGAAAAGGGTAAACTGCATTAGCAGAAATATGATGTCACTGTAATTTTCTTTTTGTTTCAACGTTTTATTATGCACAACATTTTTTTCCAATTGTGTATTTGACCTTACTTTAAAGGATCTCTTAATATATATAATATATATTAATATAATTAATATATATAATATATATTAATATAATTAATATATATAATATAAATATATATATATTTATAATTAGTGGTTGCATGTTTAGTGCTTGTAGTCGCCTAAATGTTTACTTATAGTAGATCTAATATTCTCCATTAAGGGACAATAAAGTTTAATTACATTCTTTACTATTTTAACAGACAAAATATCTTTTGCTCAGAGCTTTTAAGCATCATGCCGTTATCATCTACAAGGCGAACGCTAATAACACATAGGGCGGTCAGACAATTGGATTACATTAGGAACTTCAAAAAGTACCTATTCTATGGACAGAAAATATATGAAGATACTTTTAACTTTGTAAACTATATGTATAGCCTGTACTTTTTTGTTTTGTTTACAAAAGATGAAGTAAATAACCTTATTGTACAATTATGTGTCCTATTCTTCCTTTTCTATGGACATAAAAGAAAAAAAATGTAAGATAAGATATGTAGAGACTTTTTACTTTGTAAACTATATATATATAGCCTGTACTTTTTTTCCCCCTTTTTTTTATACAAAAGATAAAATAAATAACCTTGTTGCACAATTCTGTGTTCTATTCTACCTACTCTGGTGACATAAAAGAAAAAATTTAAAGAAAATATATGACGAGACTTTTTACTTTGTAATCTATATATATAGCCTGTACTTTATTTAGTTATTTATTTATTTTAACAAAAGATAAAATAAGTGCAATTCTATGTCATCGAAAAACGTCCACGTTTGTAGCGTGATGTGACGCAATCACGTGATCCGGTCAACAACTCAGCTGTTTGACGGTGGGTTCACGGACCGCTGAACATTTTAGTAAATAGGCCCTTCGTACATAAACGTACTATTCTCATAGTAATTAGGACGTTTCCATATCCCTGGTAAAAAAAAGATCAAATTGTTCCACTTGTAGTGTAAGTCTATTCTAAAATGTCACTCAGCCGAAAATATAAACAAATGAAAGCGATGAAATCATAGGTTGTTTGTTTGAGTAACTTATATCTAAATATATTGTTGAATTGTAAGTTATGTATGTATGTATGAATAATAGCGATAAGTTTATTTTGCGTTTCAATTGAGAAAAAAAATATGTAGTGTTTTCTTGACCATAAACTGTGGTGTTTTGTCGAAAGATGCTTGGGAAGTCTAAACTTTCGGGGAGCTCTTGAATGCAGCACGAGACAAGCGAGGAATAAATAGGAAGATATCCACGTAGCTTGTGTTGCTTTGTATTATTTTATCCGTCCCAAATGTTTGCGTATGTTTAAAGAAAAAATATTTTTATTTAGGCGATATAGGCCTTCATAGTGGAGGGGTAAGGTGGATAAACCCCAAGCCGGTTGGTCCTTTTAGCTGAAAGGAAATAAGGACTAAAAATGGAGCTGGAAGACGGGGTTGTGTACCAGGACGACCCGGGGACATCTGCGATGATGTCGGAGCGGGTCTCGGGCCTGGCCAGCTCCATCTACCGCGAGTTCGAGAGACTCATCGGAAAGTACGACGAGGACGTGGTGAAGGAGCTGATGCCGCTGGTGGTGGCCGTGCTGGAGAACCTGGACTCCGTGTTCGCGGAGAACCAGGAGCACGAAGTGGAGCTGGAGCTTCTGAAGGAGGACAACGAGCAGCTCATCACCCAGTATGAGCGGGAGAAAGCGCTGAGGAAACACGCAGAGGAGGTGAGCCTTAGCAACCCTCAGCATCCACCTAATCACACGTGGCGTGGCAGCATCCACTGAGCCCACTGAAGATGTAAACAATACACCAGACTCAGCAGCTGGTTCTTCTGGTGAATAACCAGTGTAATAAAACTGTAATTAGTGAGTAGATACACTAAGCACATCCATAACCCTATATTTAAACCCATCAGATGGACCTGCCTGCTCATTGCATCAGATTGTGGAGTCACAGGTGACTCAGCATTTTGGGCCCCTACTTTTCTACATCATAGGCTGTCTGACTGCATCAAACACAAACAGACTGATAGATGTATAAATCACATCTATCTCTTAAATGTATTTATTCATTCTGAATCTGCCCATTCATTTTTTTTACACATTCAAATTATCTAAACATGAATTAAGTGGGAATATTATGGATGTTTCTGCACAAAGTCTCCATAATAACAAACAGTCAGAATGCAGGTAAACAAAATTTTAAAAGCATTTAACAACTTGCATTCATTTCAGAATGCGTTCAGGATCAATTAATAAATAATTAATTGATAATAATTAATGTGTTGGCCCCTTCAGAGCATTAGAAACATTTTTCTTTAAATAACTTTAGTTAAAGTCCTCCCATACTCCAGTTTTGACCTTAGAACATTTTGTTAACAACAGTGTTAACTGGCTACTGATAGACTCTTAACCACCATCTTTGTTTTAAGAAGTCAATGGGCAACTGACATTATATTGCATTCACCAAAGGAAAAAAAATCAGCTTATCTCATCATTACGAGATCAGTATCTCGTAATTATAAGCTATTATCTTGTAATTATGACACCTTTTCTCCTAATTACGAGATATGATCTCGTAATTAAGAGAAAAGATCTCCAAAATGAAAACACATTAAACCGACAACCCACTCATTGTTCAAGTTTCATGTAGAATATCAAGACTGTCCTTCCTGATCTCCTAAATATAACATATTATCTTATAATTACGAGATCTTATCTTGTAATTATGAGATCTTTTCTCATAATGTTGAGATCAGGATCTCAAAATTAAGAGATTGGTATCTTGAAATCATGAGATTTTTTCTCGTAATTATGTTTTATCTCGTAATTATGAAAAAAGATCTCATAATTAAGAGATTAAATCTCATAATTGCGAGATACCAATCTCGTAATTACAGTATGAGATAAGCTGTATGTTTTTTTTTTTCTTTGGTGAATGCAATACGCTTCTGTAGCGACTGGAGCTGAACTGGTTTGTTTATCACTAGGTGCACATGCAGAAACACACACCTACTCATTGCTTCAGACTGTTGGGATATGAACCCTCTGCTCACAGCCGTTTGGAAAACAGGTGGTGTAACT